TTTCTAGGCTGGCCTATCTATGTTTCCTGGTAAAATACATGGAAGACCCCTGGGCAAGCCTCTTCCCCCTCACCTTCCTAATACAGCACGTGTAGGGCACTCCACAGGCCAAAGGGCCACTGCCATTGCATGAATGGTATGGATTCACATGCCAGTCACTGAATTCATCACCTCCACAGCAGGAAAACTGCAAGACAAAGAGAAGAGCTTAATGCATAGCTTCATCTTTCAATCATTAAAATAAAACAATGAGGCAATTGCAGGAAGTTCCAGAACAGAGGCCTTTGGTCTTCAAAGAGACTGGCCTGCTCTAAGCATGCAAGAGACCGATGGCCACTTTGTAAAGCTGAAGGAAAACATTTGCTACAGCAGTCGCTGCTTTGCCCAGGGAAAGATGGAACCGTGGCCATCTCTGCTTAACAGGCAGCGCTTCTTCCTTCTGTTCTACAAATGTCTGTGTTGCTCCCCAGAGTTCTTCTAATCTAATGCATGTGATGTGTTGCGATGTATTGCGACTCTTTTGCCATTGCCGGCAATGGGGTGGGCGCTGTTTTGCTAGGATGCATCTAGCCTGTGGGCCAGCAGTTTGACACCCCTGTTCTAATGGATCAAGGGTTAGTGAGTGGAAGAGGATCTTCCAGTGGCTGGATCTTTTACATGTTCATGCTGAAATACCAAGTGACAGAAGTGGAAGGCCACTTTCAACAAAATCATCAGGAGACTGGAATGAATTTGCTTTGGGCAAAACCTTGTCTGAGGCCAGAGCAGTCTAGCTGGGATTTTAGCAAGTCCTCCTCACCTCCCTCTGAGAGTGGGATGAAATAGCCAAGGGGCAGCGGACACCTGAACAGCTACAGCAATTCCTATTGAACCCATGGCAGAAGGTGAGTTTTCGTCAAGTTTCAAATCGAAACTTCCCTGCTGGTCACTGTCAAATAGAGAACAGTTCTAACAACAGCTTTCTGCAAAAAAAAAAAAGCCATAACAGAGATAAAAAGAAGCTGGATATGACAAAAATGCCCTGGACTAAGAAAGAACACTTACACTTTCTACCCATCAGTGTCTCTGTAGATGAGTCAAATTCTTAAGAGCATATATTAAAAATGAAAATGAAAACATTAAAAGCTTTCTTGGAAGCCTTTGAAAAAGTGCTTTTTAATCTACAAGCTTTCTCTGAAATTTTGGATAAAAGGCTTAATGAAGCAATAGTAATAATATATCAACCTAAAGAGGACATTACACAGGCAACAGCAGAATCAGATTCGCAATTGGATGGATTGGAAATTGATTTGTTGCTGACAAGAGTTGGAGGAGAAGGAATTTTGCTGGAAAATTACAGACTTGGCAGAGAAAGCTGAAAGACCAATGAATCCAAAAAATTTAGAGATGACAGAATGGTGTGATGAACCGGACTTGCTTAAGAAAATTTATGGACTTTTTGAACAATAAATATTCTGGAGATACCTACAACAGAGAGCTATGATTTTGGGGAATGAAATTCAATTATATGGAAAGACTTTTTTAAGGACAAGTTTTATTATTAAGAATCAATCAAAAATATTTGATCCTGGACAGACCAGGGACACTGACCATAATGGTTAAGATTGAAATTGAAACTGAAGCCATTGCAGACATTCTGTGAGTAAAACACAATAGTGGATCATTAACAGAGGTTTTGAAGTTAGTTTCTGTTGTTGGGCTGACCGGTTAACTGTTTCATTTTACAGTAGATAAATTATAGGTCAAATTGTTTGGGTAAATAGAGTTGAAGAAAGATATATTATAGACCTGTTTCACAAAGGGGGGAAAAACTACTAATATATATTGTAATATATTTAGCAGTATTCAATTAAGGGGGACAATATATTTTCTTCTTTTTTAATTAATCCACTTGTTTTTGTTTTTGTCCTCTTTAGTTTTGTTCTGTTCTTGATTGTTTTTTGTGAATTTGTATTTTAACTCGTGAATAAAAAAATGAAAACAAAATAAAACTAAAATAAATAATAAAAGGCATAAACTTTGTGAAGTACAGCTCACTTCATCAGATACGTCATGCATCACAAAAGTATATGCCTTTTAATATAATTTGTTAGACTGAAAAGGTGCCACTTGGGTCCTCCTGATTTTGCCCTATTATAGACCAACATGGCTCTCCTGCAGGATCTACTAGGAGAAGTGGCCCAGGTCTCTGAATAACTAGGGAGAGTCCTGGGGATATTCCTCACTTTGGATGTTGTTCCCCAAGAATTCTGTTCCGCCTTCAAGCTTAAGAAATTCTCCTGTTTGCAAAGAGGCCACCCGGAGTCCCAAATGAATGGGAGAATCCAACAAAGGAGAGTATTTTTAGCTCAGGGTTGAAATAGGGGATTCTTGGTGCTCTCCGAACTCGGTTGCCTCCTTGCAGACGTTTCATTGCCCAAACTAGGTAACATCGTCAGTGCCAGAATGGGAAAATCTATCCCAGATTGGACAAGTATTGTTTAGCAGAACAAGGCATTCTGGATCGGTCTAGCGCCCTTTAACCTTTCTCCAATATTACTTTTGTTATAGCAAAATGACAGTTGACCCCAAAATACAGCGTTACCTTTTGCTGAACATAGTCCAAAATATTTTTGAAATCCAAGTCGTCGTAATAGTGCCTTATTCCATCCTGAATGTTGGAATGGAACACTGCATTCATCTGCAAGAAAACGATATTGATGTCAGGCTGATTGGTCTGTAGTTTCTTGAATCTGGTCCCCCCCCCTTTTGGGGGGGGGGAAGATGGGAACCACATCAGCTCTTTTCCAGCACTCGTGTTGTTCCCTGGTGCTCCAGGATCTTTGAAATCTCTGGTTCAATGGTTCACATCTGACAGCTCCTTCAGGATTCTGGGATGTAATCCATCTGGTCCTGGTAATTTGAACTCATCTAGAGCAGACCGGTATTCTCTTACCTGCCTATTTTGACTTGTGTTCCTAATCTGTGGTTCCGCTACCGTTGGGCTATTTTTTCCTTTTTGTGTAAAGGCGGATGCAAAGAATGAATGACGCCCCCCCCTCCAATTTATAATGTGGGCAAAGTGTCTCCAGTCATAGGAGTGACTGACCCAGAGAGCTTACCTGCTTCTCGAAGATGATCTCGACCAACAGCAGCAGCAACTCAGTGAAGAAGATGGCCAAGAGGACCCAGAAGAACTAGGCAAAAGAGACAGAAAGGTGGGAGGGAACCAAGAGTCGTTAAAACAGGAACGTGCAGGCTCATTTTTTTAGCATTGCTGTGGCATTAGAACAACGTTGATCACCTTCCTAAAATACAGACAAGTTGCAGAAAGAACTTTTTGCTACATCCAATGGGCAGGAGACGCCACGGGTTGTGGAAAAGTGCCTTACGGTTTTCAGCAGCATCCGGTTGTCTCGGAGGGAGCCCACCATGCCAATAAAAGAAACGGCAAAGATTGTGAGGCCCAGGAGGATGAGAATGACTGCTGGGGCGAGGAAGAGCCCTTCCAGGGTCCGGTGCTTCTGTCTTTCCACTTCGGCATAAATGCCCACACAGAAGATGAGAAGGCCGATCATCTGCAGAGGAGCGGAAGGAAAAGCAACTTAGACCCTCCCCGCCAAGCCCCATTTCAAAGCCAAGTCTCTGGGCCTTCTGCCCTGCCCCCGTCCAGCCAGCGAACAGAGCTGGTGGGGAGATGGCCAGGAAGGGTCTGCAGAGGTGACCTGTCAACGTTTCTTGACCCAGCTCTTCTATTGATAACCCCAGGGAAAAAATCTTCCAACATAAAAACGTATTTCACAACTTAAAATTAATACATGAATGTCAGATCAAAGGGCTATAGATCTGCATGTATTTATATCTTCCATAATTTATCATGATGAGCTATAGATGGCTGATTGCTGTTTTCATTATTAAAATATTTTATAAAGTCATTCCGTACAGTAAAAGCACTTTTCTTCCTTATTTTTTCACTTATTTCAATTTACATATGTAAATTACACTGTATCAAACCAATTTTTATTAGATGCCTACTCTAGATGTTTCCAATATTTTACTAATATAGCAGATGATCACATGATCTTGGGGATGCTGTGAGGTCGTAAGTGTGAAAAACAGTCATGTCACCTTTTTTTCAATGCCGTTGTAATTTTGAACAATTACTCAAGGAACGTGGTAAATTGAGGGCAATCTGTACTTGTCAGTTCAGTACCTCCCTGTGGGTGAGATACTAACACATGGCACCAGTCTGATACTGCTTTCCCCTCTTATTATGTCCTGTCCACCCTCTCTAGGCAGCTCTTGCGCGTGCTGAACATCCACCCCTCAGGTCTCATTCAAGCTCAAACTTTTGAGAAGTGCGATGCTATCTGAATTCAGCAGCAATACTTTAATTACTCAAGGAGATTTTAAAGGGCATTATTATTAAATTCAGCCTTCATGTCAGTTGCAGATTCCCCACCCCATCAAATTTTAAGTTTCAGTGAAATCTGTCAGTGAACAGAAGGAGACACAACCTCTGCATGGGAGAAAAGGTAAACACAACTTCTTTCTGCAAGTGTGAACGCTCTCTTTCCGGTTGAGTGAAGCTCTTGACAGTTTCAAAACAAAAAAGTAACAAACATGGCGAGTGCAGAAATTTTGCCACCTTTTCAATATCTCCTCTGGCAGGAAAAATTGCCTCCAAACATTTGCTGTCTCAATTTTTCACGCAGAACTATTCAGATCAGAAATATCCTTAGGTCTCATTGCAGGCACCACGTTTGTTTGCTCTTATTTTATTCTGTAAATAAAGTAGCACTGGATCAACAGGAAGATGCCCAAGATTTGGTACCACACAGAGGTGGTGTCAGCTTCTGTTCAACTAGGGATTCATTGAAACATATGATTTGACTCAACTCTGCGTGTAACTGTACATGCATGCACACAAATCCATCCATCGTGCTATTCTGCAAAGGCCAGAAAGGGTAGGAAGCCACCAGCTGGGCCCATGGAAATCAAACTGGGAGGAAGCGGAGAGTAGGTGAACCAGCCAGGCAGAGGAAGGAGAGGGTTTATTGAGCGGAGAAGCAGCGGCCAGCAGCAAAAGCAATTCAGGCTGGATCACGTCTTGTGGCTCTAGGAAAAGGAAACCAAAACACCAGGAGAAGAAGAAGGAAGGCTGGTCTCCACTGGCTTCTGCAGGACGGGGATGGGTCAAATATGCATGAGGGAAAACATCTCTCCCAAGATGACCAGCAGAAGCCTTTGCTCACAGCCAGCAGCCCTTGGACAATGTGGCAACGGAGACGTTCATCCATGTCCAGGAAGTCAAGATCTGCTCTTATCCCAGAAAACAACTCTCAAAGAAACCAACTGGTGCCACAGACTGGATGCTGATTTAATGCTAGGAAGAAACCCCCCACTCTGCACGTACGATGGGCACACTAGCGTTGGCAAGAGAAGCTTCTTTCCTCCTTAGGGAAGGCCTCTCCTTCAGGGAGGCCTTCAAACATTGATCTTCCCAGGGCTTTGAGCCGGTTGTGCCTGGCAGGGAGGGGGCAGGAAATGCCTTGGTAAACAAATGTCAGCCACCTTCTAATCCACCACCGCAGCAAGGCCGCCAGAGCTCTCCATCTTCACACAGCGGATCACAGGAAAGGACAGCAGTTTCATTCCGCTTTAAAGGTCAGTTATTTCAAACCAAGCAGCAGCAAGTGCCTTATTAAAAACGGCACCAAAGATCCTGTAAATGCCATCCGTCCCTCACGAGCCTTCTTCTGAAACAGCAGCAGCCAGGAGGGGGCATCCCCCCAGCCCCTCCAAACAAAGAAAGCCATACAAATGCACGCATGGACACATTACAGATATAAAAGGGTATTAATTTTTGGAAAGAAGCCGAGAAAAAGAAGTGAAAAAGTCACAGAACCATACAAAACTTTCCCCAAGTCTGGCTTTCTGAATCTGCATTATTAATACCAGATTCAACTCTTCTGCTGCTCCCGTATTTGTTATTTTCATGGCTTTCTGAAAACAAACATTTGCCTGCAAGGTGTGCAAACCACTTTGAGATTGAACCATTTCAAATGTGTAATGTCCTGATTTGAAACGGCCTCTTTTGATTATTTTGAAGTTTTCAAGCAAGAAACAGGTTTTTGAACTCAAAGAGTTGATTTATGCGCAGGGCACTTCAACCTAATGAAAACTTGGGTCAAACATGAAACACACATTTCAAAATTGAAATTGTTCAAATATGAAGGATTTGTGATGATTTGTTGGGTGTAATTGGAAACATCAATCAATTTCTTTGACATTTTAATCTTTTTATATAGCATTTCAAAACAAGGAAACACCCTAACTCTTCCACAGGTGGCTTTCCAATTTTTTTTCTAGCCCTTCCCACATCCACCTGTGACTCCAACCTGTCCAGTGTGGTGCAGCTGACCCAAGGGGAGCCCACTACAACAAGGGCACGATTTCAGGCCACCTTAAGAGTCCCCAACACTGAGGGAGGCGGGGGAGAAAGTCTTGTCAGTCTGTGGGAGCTGGCTAGGATCCCCTTTTCCAACTAATAAGTTTTGTAAAATTTTGTAAAATTGTAATAAGTTTCAATACAAGTTATTAACTGGCCTAAACTTTGGTGAACTACAGCTGATGTCACTGGATGCAGGGAATGGCTAAATTGAAGTAAGAATTTTGCCACTCCATGCAGCCAAGGAAGTAGCCTGCAACTCACAAAGGGCATGGATTCCAATAAAATGTGCAGGCTGGAAAAGGGGATACCAGACTCCCTTTGATGTTTGACACTGGCAGGAAGGCGGCTACGGCCGCTTTCCATTCTCTTCCATTGGCGGAATCCAGCTGCACCCTGTCTTGCACCTACTGCACCCTCTGAAACAACCTCAAGGATTTCAGTGCCTTTCCTTTCCCACTCTCGGACTCTGCAATTGACACCGGAGCAAGACTCGGCTCCAGACCCTCACAGATGCTGTAGGAGATGCTGGGCAACAGGGATGGGGAGCCTCCGCAGTGGTTGCAGATGCCTCTCCAGGCTAGGAAGTATCTATTGGGCCATGAATGTCCGCTCTGTGCTACAGCCTTAGAGCAAAGCAGGTCTCCCTCCTGCCACCATTCTGCAAACTCCTATGATGTGCAACCCAACCTGGTTCCCTCCAAATGAATCACAGACTCATTGGGCTGGAAAGGACCTTGGAGGTGTTCTAGTCCAAGCCCCTCAAGGCAGGTGTCTCATGCCATCCCAGTCAATTAGCTGTCCAATCTATTTTTGAAAACCTCCAGGGATGGAGCATCCACAACACAGGAGGAAGATTAATTTTTCTCACAGTCAGAAACACCCTTATTTCTAAGCTGGATTTCTCTTTTATCAAGCTTCCATCCACTGCTTCTTGTCCTGCCCTCTGGCGCTTGGGAGAATAGGTCGACCCCCTCTTCTCTGTGGCAGCCCCTCAAGAATGGAAGATACTTATGTCCCTCCAATCTTCTTTGATAGGCTGGACATATTTGAATGAATGAATGAATGAATGGAATGAATGAATGCACACATGCACGCACATGCAAATGTATACAGAAGCTGTTCCCAGATTTATCTCATTTGAAGCCCATCAGATAGGTTGGAGCTTGGCAGGGTTTTTCCAGCTGTTTCCTGAGATCATGAGGTGGTTCCATGAGAAACTGAGAGCAAAAAAGTAAATGTTTACTCAAACACAGCCAATTTTCTCTCACTACAGCTTTGCGCCTTGTTTAGGAGGTCTGGGATTTAAAAAAAAAAAAAAACCTTAATAGGCTGCCCCTTCCAGAAAAAGCTTGGAAACCTCTGAACATGACTCTGGAGGGCTCATGACTGGTTGAGGCTTATGGGCATTGCAGTAGAGGGTGCCCAGGTAGATGGTCAGAACCAATTGTTTCTGGCTGACAAAAGAACCAATGCACAAAGGGGCTCTGAAAGGTAATTTTCTTGGCCTCTACCTACCAAGGGCTTAACTTGCATTCCTGGTTAGCACTGGAGGGGGGACCAACCAGCTCAGATTTTTCAGAAACTGAAAAAAACATCCGGGAAGAATCCAAGTCGAGCCCTTTCTGTGCAGCGGCCAAGGAAACCGCCACTCAGAGCCCGCCTGGCAGCCGAGCGGCGCTCGCGGTGCAGAGAGAAACGGAGGGCGCGGCAGGCCCGGTTTCCCTGGCCACCGGGGAGTCTCCGGGGACGGGAAGGCCGTCGGGGTCCGCCCGCCAGGCCCTTCTCCCGGTCGGCCAGGCCAGGCCAGGCCAGGCGCGCGCCGTCGGCCTCCCTCCACCGGCACAGGCGCCGCGCCAAGCCCGGGGCGAGGGGAGGAGCGCGGCGGTTCGGCCAGCCAGGAAAAGGTGCGGGAAGCGGCCGCCGCCCGGTCACGGCGCCCGGGCCCACAACGCGGAGCCGGCGAGCGAGCGAGCGAGCGCTCAGGGCGAGGCGGCTGCGGACCGGCGAGGAGGGAGCGGCCGGCCGGGCTGCGTTGCTGCCGAGCCAAGCTCGCCCGGGGCGCCCGCTCCGCTCCGCTCCGCTTGCATCCGGGGAAGTGGCCTACCGAGAAGAGGGTGGAGGACGCCGAGAGCGCGAACTTGACGCAGTAGTAGTAGGGCAGCGAGTCCCGCCAGTCCGGCCCCGCGCCCGCGCCTCCCATGGCTCCGCAGGGACGCCGAGACGCCGCGCCGCCGCCGCCGCCGCCGCCAGGATGGCCGGCCGGGCACCTGCGCGGGGAGGCGGCGGCGGCGGCGGCGTCAGCTGTGACCGCCAGGCGCGGCGCTTTCTCCGGGGGCCTCGGTCCACTTCCGCTCGGAAAGCGAAAGCCGTTCAAGGGGCAACCGGAGGAGCCCGGCCCAGGCCGCCTGGGGAGAGGGCGTGCTGGGAGGCCTCCCCGCCTTCGCCTCCCGAGGGGCGCTCCGAGGGCGGGCGGGGGGCTGCGCCGGGTTCCCGGGCGTTGGGCCGCGGAGGGCCAACATCCGCCCGAGGCCCCCGCAGAGGCTCCGTGGCCAGACCCGCCGCAGGAAATCCTGCCGGGGTCCTTTAAAATGGCACCGCCGGGGAGTATCAAGGGAGCCAGCGGCCTTGGGTCGGGAAAGGGTTGCCTCCTGCCCAAAGACAGGGCCGAGCTGCTGGGGCGAACTGCGGCTCCAAAGAAGATCTGGGCCAGTCAAGTTTTCCTAAAAGATGCGAGTCCAGCCGCTGGTTGCGCAAACCTTCCTACAATTAGCTCCACTTCAACAGCTCTTTCTACCACTGGTACCACGCTTTTGTTAGTCAGAATGAGAATCAGAATAGAGCTGGCTCTTCCAGGTTCCGTTCTGTTCCATCCCAGACAAGTGGCTGTCCAGTTTTCTTTAAAACCTCCATTGATGAAGCTCCCACAACTTCTGGAGGAAAAGCTGTTCCACTGGTTAATTGTCCTCACTGTTAGGAACTTTCTCCTTAATTCTGGGTTGCCTCTCTCCTTAATTTCCATCCATTGTTTCTTGTCCTGCCTTCTGGTGCTTTGGAGAATAGTTTGACCCCCTCTTCTTTGTGGCAGCCTCTCAAATATTGGAAGACTGCTATCATATCACCCTTAGGCCTTCTTTTCTTTAGACTAGCCAAACCCAAGTCCTGCAGCCATTCTTCATAGGTTTTAATCTCCAGGCCTTGAATCGTCTTAATGAGTTCTTAATGAGTTCAGGTCTCTTCATCTGCCCGCTCACTTGCGTTCTTGCAGTCTGGTGGTTAGCTTCCTGTTTGTCCTCCATAATCACAAGGACAATCCATGCAGGGGATCCAGTAGATTACAGTAGAAGTATCTCCCACCTCCAAGCAATCTTTGCAATGCATGGTTTATCCTGGTATGGTAGCCTCTCTAGGCAGTGTGCAATGCCCACTTGCAGATCTCCAAGGTCCCTTCCAACTCTTATTCTGTTATTCTGAAATACCAGAACTCACAAGTGCATCAAAGGTACAGTTTGTTCCCAAGCAGGCTTGTATAATTTATGCAAATTAGGATGTTCTGTGTATCCCTAATGTTCGGTGTATCCCACTGCCTAGGCGATATATGCTTATGTGCTGATACCCGCTCATTTTTTAATTCAAACTTAATTATGGCTGGGCTATTTCCATGTACGATTCAAATATTAACTGGTGATGAATTAATGCTGCTGGGTCTGTTATTTTGAAGAGTTGCATTATTGAAAGCCCCCAAAGTTTCAGTGTTTCCTTTGGGGCTGCAATAATTAAATTTATTCAGCCAGACCTTGCATTCATTGACATAGTTCTATTCAGAACAAAGAGGCTGAAAGGGATGGTGATGACCCTGGCAAGCTCTGAGTCTGAATAAATGCATAGCCTGCCTTCCTGTCTTCTCCAGTCTCAGCTGATAGGACCAGGCTGTGCATATTTACCGCAAACCTTTCTCCAGAAATCCTATCTAAAGATGCCTCCTGCATCTTGGGTGCAGTTATCTCCCTGCCTGCCAGCCTTTAATTAGAATGATGTCCAAAGATGGGCAGCAACCAAGCTCCTTGGTGTGAAGGAGGAATGTAAGTTTAAGTTAATTGTTGGTTTTATGGTTTTAAGCTTTAGCTGTAAACAGGTACAAGGTACAATGATCAGAGTGTCCCACAGCTGCTTGTGGTAAAGACCAATAAGCCTTTTTTAGTGTTGTGTAGCAGTGGTCTAAATATTCTTGCCTCTAGTAAGACAGATGATACACTGAAAGTATCTTGCTAGCTCTTGGTTTAGGTTAGCACAGCTGAAATCTCCCAACACAATGAGGAGTGAACCTGGATATTTCTCTTCAGCTCACATAATCTGATCAGCTTGAGTTCGTAATTGTTGCATTGTTTATGCAAGCTTGTGGAGGAATATACGTTGAATAGAATAGAATAGAATAGAATAGAATAGAATAGAATAGAATAGAATAGAATAGAATAGAACTGGAAGGGACCTTTGAGGTCTTCTAGTCCAGCCCCCTGCTCAAGCAGGAGAACCTACACCATCTCAGACAAGTGACTGTCTAGCCTCTTCTTAAAAACCTCCAGTGATGGAGTGCCTACGATTTTTTTAAAATATGTTTTCTTGATTTTTAACATAAATATAATGAACAAATATATTGACTCACCAACTCAAAAACAGTGATAGTGCACCTAGCAATTTTAATCAGCATCAGTGGACATTGCTATATTAACGTAAGATCTGCTAACAGAACAAAAAGGAAACCGATTACACAGTATGTGCATGTGAATCATTTGGACTTTAATGTGACTTTTCTTTTTCTCTTAAGGACTTTGTTCCTGCTTTAGTTCTTCTTCCTCCATTTTATGTATTCCTGCACACACGTGCACACACTCATACATGCAATAGCTCTAAGGCTATTGAAACATACACAGGACTTGAATGAGTGAGTGAAGGAGATTCCTTTAGAAGGGGAAGATGGTAGAGCTGCTCTGGAGACAAGCGAAGTAAATGTGGTGTGTTGTTTGGAGCACCTTCTGCAGAAAAGCAGCAGCAGCAGAAGATAAAGAGAACAACTCATGATAAACACCCAGCAGGTGCCTCTTCTCTGCCAGGTTCTCCCCTCCATAAGAGAATGCAAGAAGCAGCTCCCCCTGAATCCAGGCAACCTGAATTTCCCTCTCCAAAGCAGACCAGCTTTAAAGTGTCAAGAAGCCCAAGTCATTGAAGTGATAAATCAAAGATGGAGTGCTGGTGTGAAAGGGATCTTAGGAGGCCAGGCCAATGGGACAGAAAATAAGGGAAGAAATGTTGTGTATTGTGACTTTCAGAAAGTAGAGGCTCTTTGAAAGGTATGTAAAATCAAAAGGGAAAATCTTTTGCATTGGACTTACGGGAAATTTCCAGACAGATTGTTTTTAAGGAAAAATAGGACCATGGCACGCTTGGTCTGCCAAGTCTTGATGTAAAGACGTCACTCCGTCCTTTGGGTGGATCCAGGATTGAATTGAATGCCTTCCAAGAAGACTGTGGGCATCAGCCGGAGCCTGGCAGAGCTATTGGCTTTCCAACATTCTCCTCTGGTTTCTTGAACCCAACCACACAAGCAATCCTTGCACGCCTGTTTAGGCAAAATGACCAAGTACAGCAGCAATTGTAAGACCGGTAGCAATGAAATGGAGAAGTTACATTCTGAAGGCCAGCAGGAAACATAGATACTGCGGGGCAGAGCTCAGCCTGGCGCCATTTACTATATCTGCTCAAGTGTTAAACAGATTCCTCTGTGTGGCCATGAAGATGATCCTCCGGGGGGACCCCTGTCCAGGAGGGACCAAATGATCCTGAACTGGCCTGCCGGGCGACACTCTGCGAATACCACAATAAGGGCAGATGAATAATGCTCTTTCCCCCGCTCTTACCACAACGAGGCAAGCCTTAATGGCAGCTTTAGGTTGTGCTTGGTTGGAGTCATCCCTTGGTTTCCTCCAGCAGCCCTCTGGGCATCGCTGGTTATTGAATACCAGGATGACAGGCATTCAGCAGCAGCAGCAGCAGCCAGACTGCAGGGCCCCCAAGGGTCACTGTCCAGGGCCTGGGAATGAGCTCTGGAGGGCCAGTATTACACCTCGGGGGTCTCTTCCCCTGCTTAGCGCTGTCTGTCCTGGAACCCACTCCTGGCCTGCCAGTCCTTGGCCAGCCCCCCCCCAAAGGCTCTAGGTGCCAGCCCCCCCCCCCGCACCTTCAGGCCCTGATGATGTTGGCGGCATTGCTGCATGGCAGCTCAAGCTTCACTCCCACAGCTCCACCCGGGCGCCGATATTATGTTATTATCTGCAAGACCGCCTCCTACCAAACACCTCCCTTCGACCAGTCCGCTCCCACAGAGAGGGCCTCCTTAGGGTGCCGTCGGCCAGACAATGCCGGCTGGCGACCCCCAGGGGGAGAGCCTTCTCTGTGGCAGCTCCTGCCCTCTGGAATGACCTACCCCCCGACCTACGTACAGTTGCGGACCTGCGCCTTTTTCGCCGAGC